ATGACTCTTATAAAGGGGTTCAACTGTAGATGGTGCCCTCACTTTTCCAGTTTTGCTCAATAGCCAACCAGAGCCCACCAAAGGTGACACTTTTGCGATTGCTGCTTTTTGCGACTGTTTGAGACTACGGCTTCAAATTAGTTTTCAAAAGAAGAACACCAAGGAGTGCTAGTTGGGACCAATTTGTTGCAGGAGAACAGCACTGACTGCCAGATTGAATGTGTCTAGCACAATACAACTTCACGTTACAATCATCATGTGGGTAGATTAAAAGTGAAGTATTCAGAATGACTTGATTGATTTGATTGATATGTGGGGTTTAACGTACCAAAACCACCATATGATTATGAGAGACACCGTAGTGGAGGGCTCCGGAAACTTCGGCCACCTGGGGTTCTTTAACGTGCACCCAAATCTGAGCACACGGGCCTACAACATTTCCGCCTCCATCGGAAATGCAGCCGCCGCAGCCGGGATTTGAACCCGCGCCCTGCGGGTCAGCAGCCGAGTACCTTAGCCACTAGACCACCGCGGCGGGGCTCAGAATGACTTGTTTCACTTAAAGTAAAGCAGCTTAGGTTTCTGACAACCACAAGATTTCAGTGTGAATGGCTTGTTCTGTCGCGGAGGAGCTCAACGTGTTTCTGTGTCCAGAAGAACGAAGCATTAGTAGAAGTTAGGAAATCTCAAGAACCACTGTAGATTTCCAAGCGCGTTAGGTGGTGAAAAATCCTGGTTAGCGCAGCCTGGTCTCTGGATTGAAGAAGCTTAATTTCTCCTGAAGAAGTGGGATGAACCAGGGATACCAGCTTTCTTTTCGAGCATTCACTACAAGTTTGACAAGGTTGCAGTGAATAGACGAGAGCACATACAGTTGTTTTTTTCCAAAAGGGCCAAATGCAAAAATGAAAACTAGGCTTAATTTCATGGCAATGTGAATCATGCCGGGCTATCTTTTCCTTTTAGAACAATTGCAATCAAAACGAGATTGTTTCGGATAGTAAAGTGAACTTAAAAAAGCACATTAAAAATGAGTCAAATCCTGCACCATTTTTAATTAAACTGAGCCAGATACGTCAAATCATCAGTGCACTAACAATTGTGACCAATCTAGCTAATGTGGCCTCATCCCATCTGTTTTATTTGTGTCGTAGTTGCTTCCCTATCATGTTTTCGTTCTTTAAAAATTTTTTTTGGGGGGCAAATTAGTAATTACTAAAGAACATGATGTCATCAGGCAAAACTCAAAGGTAACAAGTAAAAGGCCAATTTTCCTACTTCTTTCAGCCTTTTAGTATTTCTTTTTGAATTTAACATTCCACATCATCTCCTTGTTTTGCTCAATGATGGCATAATACAAGAGAACTAAAATGAAGAAATTGGGCGCGGATCTATTCTTTGAAGAAGTAATATAAAACGGCGTCGCACAAAAGAAGCTGCAAAGAAGAAGTGCTGAAGCATTTTTCGAGACCTTCAATAGATGCCATGACAAAAAAAAAAAAAAAAAAACACCCTTGCCAGTCCAGAATGGTTCCGGAAAATGATGAACGATTATAACGTCTGCATAGACGATATAATAGTTTACTCCCGCAATGAGGAAGAGCACTCATGCCACCTGGCTAGTGTACTTCAAGCACTTTGTGATGCCGAGCTCAAAATTAATGACAAGAAGAGTAAGTTTTTCCAAAGTAAAGTGGTGTTTCTTGGAAGAGTATTTGACAGCCAAACCAAGACAACAAAACAGGAATCAGTCGAACGAATAGCAAAAATGCAGAAGCCATATGACTCGCACTCTTTGCGGGTATTTTTGGGTCTTGCAGGGCATTTCCGGTCGATCATTAGAAATTATGCGATGAAAAACAAATGTCTCACAGAAATGACTAAGAAGAATGTGCCATTTCAATGGACAGCCGAGTGTGAATCTATTTATCAGAGCATTGTGACCATTATTTCGTCGGATCCGGTCCTGACTCTTCCAGACTTCAAGTTGCCCTTTGAACTGAACACTGATGCTTTTTATTATGGCACAGGCGCAGTGCTTTCCCCGAAGCCACCAACAAAGGGTCGTCGGGTACTATTCGTACACTTTTTCGAAAACGCAACTGAACTACACGACTACAGAGAAGGAAGCCTTGGCAGTCTTAATGACCGTACGCTATTTTAGACCTTACCTGTATGGCAGGAGCTTCCCGCTCTTTACTGACCACCAAACCTTAATGTATATCCTTAACCTCGCTGAACCTCGAGGAAAAATTGCTAGGTGGGTGAGTGAACTCCAGCAGTTTACTTTCGTGGTCCACGACAGGCCTGGGGAACACCTCAAGGACGTAGATGCAATTTCAAGACTTGTGGTAATTCCTGATCAGGAAAATGTCAATGCAACATTGTTGTGGGAGGGAACTGAAGATTTTAAGTTCTAAAACAAAAAGTTCACAGTCCCAGAAACAATGGTGCCTCGAATTTTGGAACTCTACCACGACTCCCCGCACTCAGGTGGACATGACTGCTTTTGGAGGACATATCACAAGATTCGTCAGCGTTTCCAGTGGAATATATGAAAGAGAACGTTCAACGGTATGCTCAGTCTTGTAATCAATGTCAAGTTCACTAAGCCAAGTACCTTCAGAGTACGGACGAGATGGTTTTGCCTCAACATTCCGATATACCGTTTGAAGTCATTGATCTGGATTTCGCAGAGCTCAAGAAGAAGGCTCCAGGAGTAAGAAAAACGCAGTCTTTTCTAGTGGTAGTAGACCAGTGCACAAGAATAGTGGCTGCACAGCCGGGAGGGGAAGACGAAAATAGTGTGATCGCTCTTTTGAGTCAAGAGATGCTCAAGAATATGAAAATAGTAATATCACATAATGGACCAGCATTTCTCAGTGAGCGTTTACAAGATTAGGCGAAGGAACGAGGAGTTGTATTGCGACGCTGCGTTCCATACCATCCTACAGGAAATGGCATGGCTGAATCATTTGGAATTTGAAGCAGTTCATTTCAAGGTACCCAGGTTTTCGGGGCGGATGGAAGTGCTGCTTGGAGGCAGCTGTTGCTCATCACAATCGGTCGCACACTGCGAGCATCGGCGTTAGCCCATATTTTGCAGCTTTTGGAAAGGTACCCGTGCTTCCTGCTGATCAAGAACTTTGCACTGCAGACTGCCTGCAATTGTGCAAAAAACTAAAAACTTCGGAAGCCTACGAGCGATACCGGGAAAATATGAAGAGAAACTTTGACCGCCGTCACAACACGCGGATATCACAGATACAATTGAGCGATCTGGTGCTTGTCAAATAAGGCCTTCCCGACACAAAGCAGGTGTACATGGGACCCTATCATGTGGTGCAGATCGCAGTGCAACATGGCATTCTCAAAAGGGTTGGTTACACCAACGATGACAGTGTGCTGGAGTTTGTGACCATTGGAAAAGTCTTCATGTATTGCCCCAGGAGGGATGAGTCTTCAAAGAGGGGGAGTGTATGTGGACGTTAGGCAGGGCTGGAGGGAGACGAAGAAGAAAAAGGTGTTAAAAATAAAGAAGGTGGCTGACACTCCAGCCTAGTGCAACTGTGTATCATTACAATTGAAATGATGTATGAACGACACTGTTTCGAGACATGAATATTGAGGTTAATCCAGGTGAGTCCGATAGTAATGCTGAAGCTGAGTAGATGGGATCATAGGTCAGCAAAATAAAGTGGGACTCACTCAGACTCACTCAAGAAATATATCTTGCACTTTGGACTCTCACATACTCATGAATCGCCTAAATTTTCCTGGGCCAAACTCACTCGGACTTACACTCATGAAAATTTTTTCATGACGGACTCAGTCGGACTCGGGCATCCCAAAATATTACTCACTCGGACTTGCTCAGACTCAGGCTCACGACTCGACCAGAGTCTGAGCGAGTCCGAAAGAGTCAACTCATGAGTGAGTTTACCAACCTATGCATGAGCACAATATAAAAATAGTTAGGTCAGGTCTGACAATATTGTCTGTAGCCAAAAAATATCCTTTTCACTATTTCAATTAAAGTGCATTTGGCTCTTTTATTACAAAAGCGCCATACACAATGCTTGTGGTAAGCCCCAGTGGCGCTTGCAATAAGGGTGTCGTCGATGTGTTGTACCCCAGGGAAGTGATCAGTGCCTGTCTCGTTTCTGCTATGAAGCTTTGGAAAGTCCGAGCTGTACTTTAAAGATCAAGAAACAATCACGCCTACTCAAACAGTCGACTGAGTTGTCATGGGTGTTTTGAAATGCAAGCATCAGAGTTGTTCAATCATATTAGCTGCGAAACTGTTTTAAAACCCGGAGTGAAGTGTGGGATTGGGCTAGTGTGAACTCATTATTAACCAGCACTGAGCAGTTTAATAATGACCTCAAAACCCCACATGCCTATGCTCCATTTTGCGGAGGCCTGTAAAAAATGCCAAACCATCCGGGAGCAGCAATACAAAACACAAGATCGCCACGGCACTGCCCCTGAGTACGCTCGTTGCAAACTCTTCCATGTCACATGCAGTGACGGCATTTATTAGTTTATTTTTCTATTAACAGCTGATGTGACATTCAGTGACCCCCCCCCCTCCTCATTTTTGGATTTTGATGAATGGGGCCTCTGAAGAGTTCCACAACTCGTACAACAGAAGAGGTCTGGAAAGCATGCTCCACAAAAATCTGACAAGCTTTGACAAGATCTGCTTTACTCAAAATAGTGCCTTTTGCCAATAGACGAGAAAGAATTGACAATCTAATGGGATTGCAAGGAAGGGGACAATAAACCTGGTTTTGCGTGATATGTGCACAGGCACATTACAGCCACTAGAATGCTCTTGGGCAACTGATAAAGTCTCTTATTCGTGTGCCTTCCTTACAGTGGTGACCCAAACGTGATTTGGCCATGCACACATCTCAAAACACCAGATTTACTGTCGTCTTCCTTGCAACCCTCATGTTTATGTGGGCCTCTTTTATCCATCTGCAGAGAGTGCTCACCTCATGACGATGCCCAGCCAGCATTACGTCCGGTCTTAGTTCTTTCACCACCTGTGGTAAAAAAAAAGTAATTTGCACAGCACTTAACACAAGTCAAAAAGACAGAATACAAGCAATGATTGATAAGGCAAACACTAAGTATAGATTAACATCTACAAAAAAAAATCAATTAATAAATTCCCATGAAAAATATAATATAGTTAAACCTGCTAATAGCAAACCTCCATATAACAAATTCCTCGATATAACAGTTTTTCTATTCCCCGCTGTTGTTCAATAGAAGCACATGTATTTGCGAACTCTATGTAACAAAGTAACAGCAGGAGCCAACCTTGATATAGCTAATTTTTTCCACGGACAATCCAGAAATTTCGGTCCGTATTTTGGCATTTGCTACGAGTAGCATTTTCCCTGGCTGCCCCCGCTGCCAACAAAGTGCAAAGCGGCGGCGGCGGCGCGCACGGCGCACCAGGTGAGAGCGAGCACTCATTATTGCACACGTGCGAGTGTGAGGTGGGCAGGTGAGCCTGCACCCTACCAGCGAGAACGGCGTTGGCACCGTTCTTGCCACCGCTGGCGCATGCGCGGGTGTGCCCCCCCCCCCCCCACTTCAAAAAAAAAAAAAAAAAAAAAAAAACTATTTTTACATGTTCACAGTGCCACGCTTTTGGTTAGTGTCAAAGATGTTGGACCGTGCTGCATATGGAGGGTGCTTTACTGAATAGTTTTTCTCTGTATCCGTATCTGTGTCATTCGCTCTTCGTTTTTGATGCAGTGCGCGTGCATGGTGTCGCCCCCGACCATGTTCACTTTTGCTTTTTTTTTTTCATTGCGATAGCAATCATATGAAAAGTTTCGGATTGTTTTTCACCCTCGCCGCAGTCATTCAATGTATATGTTTACATGTCTATACATATTAAAACTCAAGAAAGAAAAAAAAAAGTCGCCCGCGCTCGGCACCCAGATCATCACGATGAGCCGACGCACACCAATCTCCCACGCACACTTTGCCCTGCAAAATGGGGTAGGGGTTAGATGCTTGTGCACGCGCGCTTATCCTTGGGTGGGAAGAATCGCCCGCCTTCAACTTTGACCAAAATGGTTGTGTTTAGTTACCGGGCGCAAAAGATCACTTCACTCACTGGACAGGTGCCGCTTTTGAAAAGAGTGTGCTTTTCAAACACAGCGAACTAATAACTGGGGCGCTTGTTAGCACTCATATGTATACCTGTGATTGTTTCATGCCTCATTCTTGTTTAAACAGCGCGTTAAGTGTTGAGCGGTAAACGTTGTTAGTCCTGTGTATGTTGTTTTCGTGCGTTATTTCTGCATGAACAGCGCGCTGCACGTTTCAATCTGCTTGCCGTTCGCAGTGCTATGTTACAAGTTGTTGCTATCGCATGCATTGCTACGCCCTTGCGGTGAAACTGTGACTTTTCCTAATTTCAGACAACGGTGTCATCACCACCAAGAGATATCAGATTAGGCACTGATGGGAACTCTCAGAAACTACGGTGACGATGGATCTTCGGAGGTCGACTCACCACGCGCTTCTGTCTTGCGCCGCGAGTTTGCAGGCCGTAGCTTTCATGATTAGCCAATTAGTTCTCGCAACACGACCGCACATTGAATGCAATGCAATGAACGCAATAGCAAAAAAATTTTAATGTTATAAGAAGTAAGACTGGCAGCCAACTCTTTTGGATCCAATATCGCAGAACTCTTACGAAACGCTAGTGTGAGCAAATACGGCCGCTCCAGGAAGAAGTGCTTTTTTCACACTGTCCCTTCCCCATTGAAACCGCACTGATATTCGCTGAGATAGCAAGTGCGTCAGCGATCATGACTGCCCTTAATACCCAAGTTCATTATTGCTACTCAAGGGATCCCCCCCCCCCTCCCTTCCCACATTGTTTTATGCTCGTTCAAGATAGGTGGTTCACTTTCTGTTTGAACATTTGACAACAGTACTAACACACGGGAGATGTTATCTTATGCACTTTCTGGGCGATAGGGATGGGCCGACTCATTTGATCTCTGCTTCAGCAGCGCTCGCGCACTTTTACCCGCTCGTGAAAGTTACCATGCGCGGGGGCCGTTATCAATTTGAACTTGTTACGGAACATGGCGGCGATGGCAAAAACCCACCGAGAGTGTCCATATAATAACGCAGTTTTTTACTGTAAAATAAGTGTTTTGTGTTAGCTCTGCCTTTAGTCCCCTTTTTGCTTAATTTGCACATTTATTTTCCGAATTTTCGTACCAAACCTGCATATAATGAAATCTTCTTTATAACGAAATGTTCTGAGAATTTATAAATTTTATTATATCCAGGTTTAACTGTACTAACACAACTTGACCTCAAAATCAACAACAGCCCACAGGTAGTGTGCACGTCAGAATAGTGGGTAAAATGGGCTTTGTGGTTTCTGGAAACTGGATAGGTACACTACGACTGGAAGTTTTATAAACATGTTGAAATTTGAGATGGTGGTGCTAAAGCCTGGGTGTGCTATATTAGAATATGTCCCCCCCATCTTCACATGCTCTTTTATAGTAATCCAAAATTATCAGAAGTAGAGTTTTGTTCGATTATACTTCAACAGTTCACTGCAGAACTGGAGAACTGCAGAAGAATCACAGAAGCAAACGAACAAAAGAACATGCATGGGGCCTGTGTTGTAGGTGTAATCTCAGTGCCATTTTAGTGTGTGTGAAATAGGTACAATGCAGCTGGATGTTTTGTACAATTCTTGCATAAAATTAGACTCCTTTTAAACGTTGACTCCTTCTCAATGAAACCTGAAAAGACCAGGAAAATCTGTTTCCTTTAGGAGAAGTTTCGTTTACTCGGAGATAAACTGGAGTATAATATTCAAGTATGAAACCAAACATATTAGTGGCAGTTGTTCCACTTAAGCAGCAACTTCATTTAAGAGAGTTTTATTCAATAGGAGTCTACTGTAATCGCAGAAGTGCTTTCGCCATTACTTAATTGTAAATGAAGTGGCTGAACTTCACGACCTCACGCAGAATTACAGAATGCCTTGACCCACTGTGAATGGTCAAGACAACAGCGAAAAAAAATGCACACAAAAGCCTGAAGTGAGCATTAAACATCTGAAAGTATAATAGTATGGTGATGGCACATGTACAGCATTTCATTTAAGACTTACAGGAGTAATTTTTGTTATGACAAGTTTCAGCCATATTACAATTCACATGATGACTTATCATTTCACAGCATATTAGCATAAAACTTCAACAATAACATTATAGAAGGAGAAGAGGCCTGTCGAACTAAATAAAGATGATGTGAGTGGCGCTTCACCCATTTGAGAAGCTCTCCAAGCAAACTACATTTTTGAGATATAAATACAAATGTAGCAAAGAAACTTGAAATTAGGAGCAGCGAGCAATGCTTTTCAAAATGTTGATGCATTGTTAAATACAAACTTAATAAAACAAAATTGAAAAAATCAGAAACAATATGATTATGAAAGCTGTAATACACACAAATGCCACAAGCAGACAATAAAAGAAAAACAGCTTTATAAAGCTGACGATGTCTGACCTACAATTTTCTACTAAGAGCCTATAAGAGTGCTTCTATGGGTAATTCAGTGGACCATTAACCCTGTCATTGTCGGGTGGCTATGGCAGTGACGTAGCCCCCTTGTTGGCTTGGTTTCGAGAATACCAGGAAAGCTTGAAAAGCAGAGATATGGTGCATTATGAAGTCAAGATGACCGATAGGGACACAAAGGGGATACAACAACCTCATTTGTAGCTGAGAGCTGCAAGTTAGGTCAAAAGGAGTCATTTTTCGGTGTATCAGAGAGGCAACGGCGAGCACCCCGGAACTCGATGTGCCGTAGCAGAGGCAGTTACTTAGAACAACAACAACAAAAAAAACCCGCAAAACTGCGTTAGATGGAAGAACGAACCTTGCACACATTATTGCACGCTTGCCACAAGGTCACTATACCTGTGAGGGTAATGCACACAGAGCAGCTGTGCCTCCCCAGCCAAGAAGGGCAGGCACGGTCGCTCCGTACTCTTTAATCGAAGTACTAACACTGTTACGGGCAATATTACATGCTTCTTGATAGAAACAAGACACTGCGCAGTGAGTGGGATCATGCAAAATAAGAGTTTTGCATTTCGCTGCGAATTTTTGAAGGCATAATGAAGAATGTACTGGTACATTAGTGACGCTGCAGGGGGAAATGCAAAAATGTACCTGTATGTCCGTGATGGCAAAAGGGTTAACAAGGTCGGAAAACAATACATTTAGCATTGACTTCTAGCCCAAGCTCTGTTACTGGCTCACTTCCACATTTATTTAAAATTAGGCAGTAGAATAATTTAAAAACAGACAGAGTGGAATAAGAGGCGTCTCTCATAATCATATGGTGGTTTTCGGACGTTAACCCCACAAATCAATCAATCAGAGTGGAATAACAACCACACAATGAAACAACTTATTCATTATTAAAACATATGCAATTACAACAAAATGTTGAAAAGTTAAAAGAGAACTAAGAGAAGAAATATTGCAATACAATACTTATCAGGCATTGGATTACATGCAAACACACATTATATTTACAGCTTTCACGGCCCCTTGATGAGGCCCTTTTTTGTTAAGATAGCTTCATCTGTTTCTGCATATCCCGTCAGGCACTTTCGCAGATAGAATGCTTTTATAGCCAGGGCACGCAAACACGGAGACAAGAAGGGGGTCAGGACACCACCGTGTTTGCACGCCCCGTCTTTTTAGAATGATTACCCACCCCAGCTCTCAGTTATTCCAAGCTTTTATATCATACTGCTTAAAAAGAATACTGTTGCCCACTTACATCTTTTATATAGTGACCAAAGCTTGTGGACAAAGGCACATGAGATAGGACGAAGCGAACGTTGCTTCCCAGCTGGGACAGATGTGACCGGTATGCATATGAAGTTGTCAGGTAGTTCACCTGCGATGCAGTACATAGATAAGAAGGTACACAGTGAATGGATGCACTATATCCCCATACGCACATCGTGTCAAACATGGCTTCAAGTATATTTTAAATTACATTCAGTTAAACATTCTGCTCATCCAATAAGTGATTCTTGAGTGAAGAGCACACTAGTACCTTCCGAGCACAATACAATAAAATCCACAAAAATCCTGTGGTACCACTCTACTGAATACAGTTAAACCTCGATATAACGAAATTGATAAAATTCTGGAAAAACTCGTTATAAAGAGGATTTTGTTATATGCAGGTTCTGTATAAAAATTTGAAAAATAAACTCATAATTTAAACAAAAGGGAGACCGAAGGCAGAGCTAACCCAAAACATTTATTTGGCGGTAAAAAACTGCACGATTATTGTGATAGAAATTTTATGGGCACCCTCTGCGGGTTGTTGACGCCGCCACCATGTCCCGTAACAAGTCTAAATTGATAACATGCCCCCGCGCATCGTAACTTTCACGAGCGTTTAAAAGCGCGCAAGCGCCGCTGAAGCAGAGATCTAATTAGTCGACCCATCTCTATCGCCTGGAAGGCGCATAAGATAACATTCCCCGCGTGTTAAAACTGCCGTTGAATGCTCAAACAGAAAGGAAACCACTTATCTTGAAAGAGCATGAAAAAATGTAGGGGGGAGAGGGGGGATAGCTTGAGAAGCAACGATGAACATACTGTTTAGGGGCTCTCGCGAATGCTGGCGCGCTTGCTATGTCGGCAAGTATCAGTGCACTTTCACTGCGAATGGAGTGTGTGAAAAGGGAACTTCTCCCTGGAGCAGTCGTATTTGCTCACACTAGCATTTTGTAGGAGTTCTGCGATATCAGACCCAAAAGAGTTGACTGCCAGCCTTACTTCGTATAACACAACAATTTTCTGCTATTGCGTCACTGCATAGCATTCAACGTGCCATTGTACCAACTGTCAGTACCAATTGCCAGTACCGATTGGATAATCGCGAAAGCTACGAACTTGCGAACTCGCGGTACGATGCAAGGCAGAAGCGCGTGACGAGACCTCCGAAGATCCGTAGTCACTGTGGTCTCGAAGAGTTTCCATCAACGCTTTATCTGACATCCCCTTGGAAGCGACGAAACGGCTGTCCGCATAAAAAAAGCAAAAATAAAAGCACAGCTGAACACCATCGAGGGCCACACCATGCGCTTGCAGTGAAACCATGCATATACGTGCGCACGACGTCGAAAACGAAGAGCGAACGACACGGACACAGACACTGTGAAAAATTATTTAGTAAAACTCCCTCCATTTGCAGCGCGACCCCACATATATGACGCTAATGAAAAGCGTGGTACTGACAAGGAAAAACTAGTTTCATTACTTTATTTTTTTGCTTTTGTCTCGAGAGAGAAGGAACACATCCACGCATGTGCCCGCAACAGCAAGAACGGCGACAATGCTGGCTCGTCGGGTGCAGGCCCGCCTGCTCACCTCGCGCTCACCACCCGCGCGCAATCATGAGTACTACTCGCACTAGCCAGCTACGCCGCTTCGCGCTTCATTGCCGGCGGGGCAAGAGGAAGACACATGCTCATACCAAAATTCGGGGGCAAAATTCGTAGATTGTCTAAGAGGAATATTCGTTATATCAAGGTTGTCTCCCTCTGTTACTTTGTTACATGGAGGTCACAAATACATGTGCTTCTATGGAGCAACGGTGGGGAATAGAAAAACTTCGTTATATTGAGGAATTCATTAAATGGAGGTTTATTACAAGCAGGTTAAATTGTACATGGTAGCAAGACATCTTGCAACAGCAGTTGATGTATCATACCAAGGCAAAATAAAAATGTCCTTCATATTGAACTATATGTGAGCACGACAATGCTTTCATGCCAATGCATAGAAAAGCTCTTGGCTACATTGAAAAAAAAAATGACTGGAACGCTTGATACATAGAACATTGGAAAACCCTAAACGCCCCAAGAAGTTGCATTTTCCCAGAAAGGACCTTTCTAGCATGCACACGGGAGCACAAGTGGTGTGATTAAGCCGCGTGGAGAAACTACTGCTCGCCATTTCGTGGATCCTTGCGACTCCTTATAGCTGGGCTCGTAGAGCAGGGTCGCCATTTGCTTTTTCTGCTCTCTTTCTAAACCAATGGCTGCCGCAAAAGGGAAGAACCTGCTGTTCTCCGCAAAGCTGACAATAATCAAGAGAATTAAATGTGAAGAAAGGAAGCCTGATGTCACCAGTGCATACAGCATTTCATGAAGCACGGCGAATATCATGTTGAGAAACAAGCCTAACATTAGGGCCAAGGCAGACTAGAGGCTTCTGGCACCTGACGAGCACGCCCGGTTGAGTATTAAGGGGGGACGAGGGTCTTAAAACAAGTTTTTCATTTGTTGTCCTACAGTCATAAAGACTACCATGCATGCATACCATTAAATGGACATTTCAAATCTGCAAACAAATTTCAAATATCTCATTCAAAAAAAGTAATGAGAAATATCCACATTATAATTAGGTAATTTCTTATGGGTCGTTAGGGTAACTCGAAATAAAGAAAGTTTGCAAAACTACATGTTTTCTGAAAAAGGTTCACTCCTTAGGCTAAAGCTAATTAGATCACAAATAATTTTTAAACTTGGAAGATAAAAATGAGCTTCTAGTAATTAGCTGGTATTTATCATATAATTACAGTTCTATCAAAGTTGAGAGAAAAAGAAAAGCTTTAGCCTGTAGTTTAAGTGCTGCGGAAAAGAATGGTACCAAGTTTGTTTATATTTATTTCACAGAAACTTGCTCAAAACTTCCATAAGGCAGATTCACTTCACAAAAACAATGCCAAGGAAATTATGTTTCCAGTTTTAAAAACATTTGTAGTTGCATATATTGTCATGGGTATAGAAAGGTACCTTACGCACGGGTGCAGAAATGACGCAGAAGAAATGAACACGACGATGTTGTTGTGGGGCTGTGTCTAGACTCCCCTATTGTCCTGCATCCTTGCACACTGTGTGCAGTGTTAGCCCAACCTGCGTTAACTTATTAAATACTCCCCGTTACATATTTTTGGTGGAGGTGCTGGGTAACATTCCGACTCTGGATCTCCGTGGCGGATGTCAGCTTGGTCCAGCCATGATGCCTGAAGGCAGTGCGCCGTCTGTTCAGTCTATGCCTGCTCCGTCACCAGCGATCCCTTCCCATCTTTTCGAGCCAGGTACATTTTGCAGCACCGACACAACTGACGTTGACGAGTGGCTCGTCTTATACGAGCGTGTCAGCAAGCAATACAGGTGGGATGAGACGCTTATGCTGGCCAACATCATCTTTTACCTGCAAGGTACTGGACTCGCCTGGTACGAGACGCATGAGAAAGACCTGACGAGTTGGGACGTGTGCAAGCAGAAGCTCCGTGGCTTGTTCAGCCGGTCAGTTGCTCGACAAATGGCAGCCAGGCAGGAACTCGCGTCACGAGTTCAATCTTCCACAGAGTCGCACGTCACCTACATCCAAGACATGCTCGCCTTGTGTCGGAAGGTCGACAAAGACATGACCGAACTAGACAAGGTCAGCAATGTGTTGAAGGGCATAGCCGACGATGCCTTCAATATTCTGATATGCAAGGACTGTACCACCATTGACTTGTCAGTGAATGTCAGCGGTTCGAACAAGTCAAAAGCAGGAAAATCACTCAACACTTTTCCCAACTCCCAAACACTGCTGCGACTTCTTCCTGCAAGAATCCTGTGGCACCACGTCCTCGTGAATCCTCCCAACATCACAAGAATTGTCCACTAGGAGCTGGAAGCTATGGCTCCTTCCGCTTATCAACCCCCTGTGCCTGACAACTTTGCCCCAATATCTCTTATTCAGGCTGTTGTGCGACAAGAGTTTGCCAACATGGGCGTCTTAGTTCCCCGAAACTCCAGCCACACACCGCAGCCCATAAATCCTAACGCTCACTACCACGCCGCCCCACTTGTTGCTGGTGCCACGTCGGTCCCGTGGTTTTCATCGCGCTACTGAAATCCATCTGAGTGGCGCACACAAGATGATCGACCGATATGCTTCTCTTGTTATCGCGTTGGCCACATTTCCCACCCCTGCCGCAACAGATGGTCTTTCCGGCAACGTTTTCTAGACGACCACCGACAGGATGGTGGGCAGTATTCGCCACCTCGTTTTGCCGATGACCACTTTTAGGACCTCCCAAGTAGCCGTTCTACGCTACGCTCCGAACCATCCTACGCCGATGTCGTCGACCAGAGAACCCGGTCCAGCCGCTCGCCGTCGCCTCAGGGTCGCCAGCCGCGCTCCTATCAACGCCCTCGCTCCCAGTCACCGGCATATTCTGGGCAGTTCTTGGGAAACTAACAGATGCAGCTCCTGGAGGTGGCACTGCATTGACAACTCGGACCAAAAATCTCTACCGACCACCAATTCCAGACGAAACTTACTTGGTGTTCTTATCGATGGCCTGACCATTACAGCCCTAATAGACACTGGTGCCCACACATCTGTTATGAGTTCACGTCTTCGATTCCGCCTGAAAAAAAGTTCTTACCCCTGCCATGTCTTTGACTGTGCGAGTAGCTGACGGCAGCCGAACATCAGTTCTTGGTATGTGCACTGCTCGCGTCACTGTTGCCGGCCTTCACACTTCAGTCCTCTTCGCTGTTCTAGATCCTTGCCCACATGATGTGATTCTCGGCATTGACTTTTTGACCGCGCATTCAGCCCTCATCAATTGTTCAACCAGCACTTTACAGCTAGAGTTGCCTTTGTACTCTGATGTCCCTCGGACCAAAAATCTCTACCGACCACCAATTCCAGACGAAACTTACTTGGTGTTCTTATCGATGGCCTGACCATTACAGCCCTAATAGACACTGGTGCCCACACATCTGTTATGAGTTCACGTCTTCGATTCCGCCTGAAAAAAAGTTCTTACCCCTGCCATGTCTTTGACTGTGCGAGTAGCTGACGGCAGCC